GGAGAGCAAACGTATGATGCATTCAGTAAAACCACATTCACAATGAAGGCAATGCTATTGTGGACTATTAGTGACCTACCTGCATATGGAAATCTGGCTGGCTGCAGAGTAAAAGGTAAGATGGGATGTCCATAATGTGGAAAGCATACTGATAGTTTATGGTTACCTAATAGCAGGAAGCATGTTTACATGTTTCATAGAAAGAGATTATCACCCACGCATAGTTACCGTGGGAAGAAGGCATGGTTCGATGGAAAAGTTGAATATGGAAGGAAGGGTAGGATTCTAACGGGTCATAACATATCTGTGTTGCTGAAGAATTACAAAAACGAGTTTGGAAATGTTAGACAAGCTGGAAGGAAAAGAAAAAGGGTTATTCCTGCGGAGTCATTAGCTGATAGTGAAGACGAAGAATCCGAATCAGAGGAGGAAGAGGAAGTAGATGAAGAAGAATTATCTAGATGGAAGAAACGATCTATCTTTTTCAATCTTCCTTACTGGGAGGTATGTTATCGTTTTACAACTTCATTTATATTTGTTAAATACACTATACATAATTTAAAGACTTTCAGTTAACATGTCTAAATGCAATCCATAGGAACTCCCGGTCAGACATAACTTAGACGTTATGCACGTAGAAAGAAATGTTGCAGCGAGCATCATTTCCACCTTGCTGCATTGTGGAAATTCAAAAGACGGTCTTAATGCTCGTAAAGATCTACAAGTCCTTGGTATTAGGAAAGAGTTGCATCCTAAAGGCAGAGGCAAACGAACTTACTTACCTGCAGCACCGTGGACTTTGTCAAAGGAAGAGAAGAGACTATTCTGCAAGCGTCTACATGAGTTCAAAGGACCGGATGGTTATTGCTCCAATATATCCAGGTGCGTATCATTAGAAGAGTCTAAGACAATGGGATTGAAGTCACACGATTACCATGTGCTCATGCAACAACTTTTACCAGTTGCACTTAGAGGTCTTTTACCGAAAGGGCCTAGAATAGCCATTACACGATTATGTGCATTCTTCAACAATCTATGTCAATGTGTTGTTGATAGGGAGAAAATATCAGGAATGGAAAACAAAATCGTTGAGACTATTTGTATGTTTGAGAGATTTTTCCCACCTAGTTTCTTTGATATAATGGTTCACTTGTGTATACATCTTGGGAGGAAAGCTAGATTAGGTGGACCTGTACACTTTCGATGGATGTATCCTTTCGAGAGGTAAGTTGTCTATACAATTTTTTTGATAAGTTTGCTTGCCGCATATTTCATCTTCCATTATCGTTATTCTTATCTTCGTAATTCCTACCAGACACATGAAACTGTTGAAAGACTACGTCAGGAATCCTGCAAGACCGGAAGGATGTATTGCTGAATCATATCTAGCAGAGGAATGTATGCAGTTCTGCAGAGATTTCTTGAGGAAGACCACAAGTGTCGAAGGTAGACAAGAATGAAATACTGAATACGAAAGCACTTCTATACTCGAAGGGCGACCTATTTCTGCTGGGAGGTCTATCACACTTTCTGAAGTGGAAAAGAAAACAGCACACCTAGCTGTCATTCAGAATACCGCACTGGTAGATCCTTATGTAGAGTAAGCTCTAATTTCTTTATTATGCTGCATTCATATTCGGAATTCAGTCTTGATACTAATATATTTCATTGTTGTCTAATGTCACTTTGTAAGCATGCATCTGCAATACCTGCAAGACACAAACCCACGGTGTAGACAAGATGCTACTTTCCTATGGAGTACTCACACTAAAAACTTTTCAGAGTGGCTTAAAAAAAGTGTAAGTAAGCTGTTTCAGTTCCGTATTAATACAAGGTACATTTTAAACTTATTGTTGATTTACTTACTACATTATTTTTTGTCAGATACCACTTGACTCTACGGAACATGATGACACACTTAAGTGGATTTCATATGGTCCACGTAATATGGCTAGATCATACACTGGTTACGTTGTTAATGGTCTGCGGTTTCACACAACATCAGTTCAGAGACAAACGCACAACAGTGGAGTATATTATAAAGCAACTGCAATGTGTCGAGCCAGTGCAAGAGACACTTCCCAAATCTAGGATTTGGTTTCTTATTATGGCAGAGTGGTGGACATTATCTTATTAGACTACAACGTATTCTACATACCTCTATTCCGATGTCAATGGGCGGTCAGAGGCAACGGTGTGAAGGTGAACGAAGGTTTTACGTTGGTCAACTTGAACCAAAGTCAAGTCTCTTTCGCAAGGGATCCATTCATTCTGGCATCTCAAGCTAAGCAAATATTATATTCCAGAGAGGACGAGTCTTCAAATTGGTATGTGGTTATGAGAGGCCCTTCAAGGAGATACACTGAGGCAGACAGTGATGAGGCAGATGGTGGGCCATTACCATTGAGTGTTGACATGAACGTAGAAGATGTTGACGCTGAAGACCAACCTGCAAGGGTTGATTGTGAAGGAATATACGTTTAGGACATATACGTATTACCTATTGCGTAGTTAGAGTCGTTGCTTTCGGTTTAGTGTCTATGCTTGACTATATGGAATATGGTGGTCTAAATTTTTCACTGATGGGTTGTATTGAGTGTTTCAGGTGATAAAGTATGGGTCGACCAAAGGGAAAGAATAGAAAAAGGAAGAATTTATCTGAGGAGCCAGAATTTATTGGGACAGTATATCCGGAAAGTATGCATGATGGAGGAGAAGACAATGCAGCCGGAAATGATCAACCTGATGAAGTCATGAACGAGGCTGTGCAGACACAGATTAATGATGAGACGCAGAGTCCAGAACATAGAGTGTGCTCTTAGGAACCAGATCTGAATGATGGATTACCGAATGTTGATGAGGATGCATTCAATGAACATGCATTCATGAATGATGAAACGCCGGCGCCTGAATCAGAAGGGACTACAGCTCCAAACAAGCCTAAGCGATCTAGAGGTCCAACAAGGATGAAAGACATCGCAAGAGATCCTAACAGTCGCATAAAGGTTGAATTCAATAGCATGGGAGAACCGTATGGATCAGGATCGGTTAAGCTGTCATCTTACCTTGGGCCCTTGGTGCGTGAACACGTCCCTGTCATTATTGAAGATTGGAGGAAGATTGGTGAAGAACGTAGAACAGTTCTATGGAAATCTGTACAGGTAGACCCATTTTAATTTAGAATAAGGTAAGTATTATGGACTTGTATTTTATTGTTTGATTTGGAATTTATTGTAGGCAAGGTTCGAATTAGATGAGGAGTATCACAAGATGGCTGTCATCAAGCAAATGGGTTGTATATGGAGGGCCTCAAAGTCGAGGCTAGTCAGCCAGATCAAGAGTTGTAAGAATAACGCAGAAAGATTGAAGCTTCGCCCAAAGAATATTCCACCGGCAGAATGGCGCAAATTTGTGAAGGCTAAAACTAGTGCAGCATTTAAGGTAATCACGTAGCCCTCACTTTACTTCCATATACAGATAACTGAATTTTTGTTTTCAGGAACTAAGTGACACATATAAAGAAAGAAGGCGAAACCAGATTCCTCATACTTGCAGTCGAAAGGGGATGGTCAGACTGGCTGAAGAGATGGTAATATTCCGTATGTGTAATACTGATGCAACTATATGCAAATAACTAACATTGCCACCTATTTTCAGAAAAAAGAGATCTCTGAACCGTCTGAAGTAACTAGACTACAGGTATGGGTTAAGTCTTGAACAAAGAAGGATGGCACTGCAGTCAATACAAATGCAGCCGAGAAGATCGTAAGTAGTTAACAATAACTAGTTGGTTTATTTTTAAAAGTTGATGAATACTGGCGTATCTTGGCTGATGTCGAAAGTGTGTGTACAGAAAAAGGCAGCTGAACTTGTTGAAACGGTTTCTCCCTCTTCGACGTCCACAAATCCCAAAGAAGATCTCCTTTCTCAGCTACTTGGGCCTGATAATCCCGGCCGTTTGAGAGCGATGGGTAGAGGGATGAGTCAAACCAAGTTAGCATGCTTCCAGATGAAAAGCAAGTTTATGGATGATATGAAACGAGACCAACTAAGATTGATTCAGCAGGTCCATGATTTAGAGGAAGCACTGTCAAAAATACAGAACCAGGTAAGCGAGTATTTCATGTCTGGTGATAGTAACTCTGAATTTTACATTGTTATTATATTAACTTAGGTTGTTATTTCAAATTACATTTTTCAGAAACAAGAAGCTGAAGTCGGAGAGAATTCTGCGCCAAGAGTAAACTCTTGTTTTGTCTTATTTAGCATTTAAAATATATGTCATATGTTTACATCTGTTTTTACAATTCACCATTAACGTTTGCAGAGTGTCAACATGAAATTACAAATGAAGTGTCTGTTATTCGACTGGGCTGGAACGGATGAAAAAGTTGGTGAAGGACGTATTTTGTCTGAAGAGCCTGAGGAATTTGTCAACAGTATACCCTTAGGCCCAAACTCGTACAAAGTTTTGGTGGAAGCAGCAATTAAGCCAGAAGCTTATCTTTGGAGACCTGCTCGCAACGTCTTTAATATGGAGCAAGCAGTTGGAGAGATGATTGCATGGCCTCAAAATTTTGTGGTTCCCTTTAGCAGCGGATGTGAACCAGAAGACATTACGCCTCTGGTAAAATTCTTTCAGTACGGAATATAATAGTTGAGTTTATAGTAAAAGTAAAACTGTGCAATGCTTGACAATGGTTTCATTTGTTTACTGCTTCACAGAGTCCTAATACTAGCTCTCGGAACTTCTGCAAGTTGCTTGACTGGGCTAGAACTAACGAGGAAGTTGTTGCAGAGGGTCGTTGGCATTCTCGAGAGCCAAAAGCATTAGTCAACGGACTACCTCTCGGACCTAATGCAGTGAAGGTATTCGTCGATGTGGTTTTATGCCCAAATACCTTCCTCTGGAGGCCAACGACTGAGTTCTTAGATTTGGAGGATTCAGTCAACACCTTTGTCGCTTGGCCTGCTAATAGAGTAATCTCTGAGGCAAGTCCTGAAACGAGTTCTCCTATTGCTAACTCTGAATCAACTCCACCAGCTCCAATAAAAAAACCAATGAAAGCAATGTCAGAAAGTTCTACTCCTATAACTCAGGTAGGTTTTCTTACTAACCTTTCATTTGTTTGGTTTGTTTGGATTTGTTGATTTCGTGTATAGCTATATATTCAAAATTTCTTTGCTACAGGAATCCAACCAAATGGAAACGGGGAATGAAAATAAGAAGTGCTTGGTGATGGCTATTACTGGAAAGAAGCGAGTGATTGCTGAAGGACGTTGGTCCACAAACGATCCACTTCAAACAGTACATTTTGTTCCCTTGGGTCCAAATGCAGTTAAGGTGTGGATTGATGTTGTCAAAGTTAAAGATGCTTGCGTATGGAGGCCTTCGTCTGAGATCGAGTGCATGGAAGATGCAATAGGAACAGCTATTGCTTGGCCAGAGGATAAAGTGGTACTCGTCTAAATGCAGTAGTCATCTGATACTTTAGTTTTTATCTTCTCTGAACTTAAGGATGGTTTCGTTGAAGACATAACCTGATATGTGTTTATGGTTTTCTTTGTTGGAAATGCTTGTATGTTGCTGAAACATTAACCAGTACTCAGTTCTTCTATATGGAAAAGCAGATGCATTTCAATTTTTGTTTACCAGGTTATGATATTTAGTAAGTGTATTTTTTGAGGTTTTGGATATATCGTATTTGGTTAAAAAAAACCTACATCGCCAAATTCAATAGCACGTAAGAACAGCTCCAACACTAAACAATACAGCGTGAAAAAATAGCTACAGTATATGATGTTGGAGCTAAAATATAATGCTACGACTCAACTAACAACAGCAATGAATTTCTCTTATAGTAAACTAGAATGTAGCTATAAAACCACGCTACTATAAAGGTGTCAATAACACAAAAATAAAGCTACAACATTTAATAATATAGCGTCTAATTTGTGCTACCGTATCATTTATAATAACATCATAACAATGCTATTATATATATGAATATAATAACACTTTCCATAAACGCTATATTAAGGGGTGTACTCTATTATAACTCCGGCAGATACAGCGTTTATGAAAACGCTATGAAAGTACTTTCATAGCGTTATTCGTATGCTATGAATGTACATATTTCTTGTAGTGATTGAACTTGCCTCTAAACATACAAATTCAAAGTGTATATAACTGCTTAAAAACCAAGACAATTTTCCTCACTACAGGCATCAGTCACATTTTCAAGATATTCGAGGTATAATAGTCTCGATCTAGGCCCTTTTTTTAAAAAAAAAAAACAGTCTCAGTCTTTCTTTCAATTCATTTAGCATATTCATTTGATTTTGGTTTTGTGATCTTTGAGTCAAGTATCAATACTTTGATCTTTTTTTCTGTATATTATATTAAAGCCGTAGAATTTTTTTTCCCTAAACGCTAGTAGGAGTTTTAGAAAAAAAATTTCAATATCTCACAGTTTAACCACAAACATATATATGTAGTCTATAACTAAATTTGAAGTCTTATTATATATAAAGATTCAAGAGTTATTTCTTCTCATTTCATCCATCTGTGTCTTTTAGGGTTAAAAGAGATAATATAAAGAAGAAGAATGGCTTCCAATCCTTGCTCTGCATGCAAAGTCCTCAAATCCGTGTGTACAGGTGAATGCGTTTTTGCGCCATATTTTCCATCGACGGAGCCTGAAAAATTTGACCGTGTGCATAGAATTTTTGGAGCCGAAAATGTTTACAAAATACTGAGCAATGAGACTTTCTCACCTTTACAACGTGAATATGCTGTTAAGGCTCTCAGCTATGAAGCTGAAGCCCACATACAGGATCCCATAACCGGTTGTGTTGGTATGTCTTTGGCTTACGAAAAAATTCTCAACAATTTAAAAGAGCAAATCGTCTCAGCAAAGAATGAGATCGTGGCCACCATGGGATCTGATAAAGTACCGGAATATAATGATATTCCGATGCCTAATGATTTCCTCATGACACAAAACCAACAGATGGGTGATAATCATCGAGCTGATGAGGCATCAACATCTGCAACGCCACCGGCATCTTCAGGAGGCACCAATGATACTCAACAGACACCTTAATTGCGTTAAAACCAGAACAAACCATAATGAAATGCCTGTTGTGTTTATTTGATATTTGCATGCACCTCAATTCTCGTGATAATTTGTTGTCCTCCTTTCTTTATTTTTATTTCATCATAAATTCATGTAGTTTTATTATATTAAAAATAATTCATGTTGTTTGATCTAAATCGATTTTCAAATTGGTTTTTTGTTTTTTTTGTTTACTAGAGAAAAACTTAAATACATTTAAAGATTGAAACAAATTTGAATCTAGATCTTTTGGATGATCATATAATTTAATAACATAAAAAATTACATGAAAAAGAATTTACATGCGTAATATATGTTAAATATATGAGTAAATGAAATATGGGTATAATGGTAGGATTTGTATAAATACTTATTCTGCATGTAATGATATGCGATTGAAAATGTCGGTGGTCTATATAAAGGTCATGGAGGAGAGATGTCAATGAATACTAGTTTGTCTTATTAGTTTGCCTTCCAAAGACTTCGGTCTCTTATGTCGTTGTGGGTGTTCCCAATTAAAAAAAACTAGTTAGATATACATAAAAATAAAGTTAATAAACAAATCATTCAGTAAAATTATATTCATGGAAAGTCCTAACTGACTTCTACATTCTATTCTCAACAAGAAAGCCCCTTTTAAACTCTAGTTGTCATTATATCTCTGATCTCTTTTGGGTAAGGAGGAGAATGATCAAGCAATATTTAGAATCTAAAATTTGGGGATAATTATTTGGTTCCTGAAAATAATGTTGTAACTTGTATGAACAGTAAAAAAAAAAACAAGATTTCATCTTGAGTTGGGACTTGGGTCAAAAAAATTGTTGTCGAGGAATGGTGATGTTGTAACTCATGCCAACATCACTTTGGCGCAAGTTGAACATGGCTATAAACCTATAACCCAATATTGATTTTGAGATGAGTCCGATTTTTTTTTTTTGTGAAATGGTAGTTTAGTTTTTATGTTGGCTCGAAAAAAATGAATATTAGTTGGTGATGATTCAGCACAGGTCTCCAGAGTTTTAGCTGGTGATTATCAGATCTCAGAAGGGAATCCGCGCTACGCTGCGGGATTATAGACTATTAACTTTGAATTTCTTATATTATTTTATAATTTTTTTGATATGAGCTTATTCATCCATTGTTTTTTCGAGTTTTTTTTATCCAAATCATGATTTAGTGTTAATTTATTAACTTTCTCAAATTATGAATTTTAGGTTTTTTCACACATACACACATATATATATATATTTATCACTAATTCCATTTTTGTTTTACTTATATCTTTAATATTTTGTATATTTATTTGTTGTTGTATTATTATTTTTTCCTCTTTGTCATTTTTTCTATATTTTTATAATTTTTTATTTTTTCAATTGTGTATTGAACATTGCTTTTGGTACTGTAGTTTTTTTCTTATTTTTTTTTCTTTAGATATTTAAAACTTGCTTAGCTTATTATTTTTAATTTTGACTCATATTTTTTCTTCTTCTTTTGCACTGAGATTAAATTATCTTTATTAATTCAAAAATAAAGATTAAAATCACACTTATAATCTTTTATTATTTTTTATTCATATATTGATGATTTTTTAATTTAAATTTAAATTTGATTAAACTTATGCTTATGATGTTTTAAATTAGATTTAAATTTGATTTAAATTATGCTTGTGATTTAATGTTTTAAAACAGTTGAATTTAAATTAAATAGTTTACATAAGAATTAATAGTTGGGACAGATTTTAAGTTACGCTTCTAATATTTTAGTTCAACTTTTGATTTCTCTTGTGATTTTTTTTTTCTTGATGATTGTAGCTGATAGTTTTTTAAATCCATTGTTTTTTACATTTTTACATTGAAATCTCCATCTAGTGATTATATATGTTTTTTTCAATTTACTATTTTCATATTTTGTTTTCACATTTTTTCAATTGGTTCTATCTGTGTTCCTTATGCTTCTATAAATTTTATATTTATTTGTTACCATATTCTTTTTCTCATTTTTTCAAAGAATCAGATCCTCAATGCCCCTGAAGTTGACAAATTAAAACAAATCAAAACAAATAATATGAATTTAAACAACTAATAATGAGGTTAAACGAATAATATGAAGTTATGTTCAAATAATATAAACAGATAAAAACTTAATTAAACTATGAGGTTGAACAATATGAATTTTTTTCACGTTTTTCTTGTTTGAAAATATGATTTTGTAGAGTATATACTGTTTATAGTGATAAGAACAGAATGATAATAATAAAATTTAACAAATTATTTTCAATCCATCTCGCAAATTTTAAATTTTAAAATAATTTTAACAATAGTATTTTAGAGATTTAAGTTTATTAAGTTTTAAGTTTTCTCGTCCAATTGATTATATGTATGTTTTTTTATTCAACTATTTTGCTATTCAGCTATGATATACCAGATAAACCCTAACTCTCTAAATTTTGATGTATTGAAATAATCAAAAGTAAAAAGTCATGTATATTATGAATAAAAAAAAAAGTTAAATGTACACATTAATGAATGATAAATGTGATATCATCTTATTTTTTTGAGAAAAGTTTATCCTGATATTATCTTTCCAAAAGAGAGAGTATGTAGTCTACTCTATCACATTATGGTAATTGAAAATATGGAAGGTATCTAACAAGTACTAGTCAAAATTTAAACATTTTTTATAATTGAACTTACCTCTAAACATACAAATTCAAAGTGTATATAACTGCTTAAAAACCAACAGTATTTTCCTCACTACAGGCATCAGTCACATTTTCAAGATATTCGAGGTATAATATTCTCTATTTAGGCCCTTTTTTGTAAAAAAAAAAAACAGTCTCAGTCTTTCATTCATTTAGCATATTCATTTGATTTTGGTTTTGTGATCTTTGAGTCAAGTATCAATACTTTGATCTTTTTTTCTGTATATTATATTAAAGCTGTAGAATTGTTTTTCCCTAAAAGCTAGTAGGAGTTTTAGAAAAAAAATTTCAATATCTCACAGTTTAACCACAAACATATATATATGTAGTCTATAACTAAATTTGAAGTCTTAATATATATAAAGATTCAAGAGTTATTTCTTCTCATTTCATCCATCTGTGTCTTTTAGGGTTAAAAGAGATAATATAAAGAAGAAGAATGGTTTCCAATCCTTGCTCTGCATGCAAAGTCCTCAAATCCGTGTGTACAGGTGAATGCGTTTTTGCGCCATATTTTCCATCGACGGAGCCTGAAAAATTTGACCGTGTGCATAGAATTTTTGGAGCCGAAAATGTTTACAAAATACTGAGCAATGAGACTTTCTCACCTTTACAACGTGAATATGCTGTTAAGGCTCTCAGCTATGAAGC